TGCAAAATTTTGACACTCTTTTTTCCCCTCTGTCTTTTTGAAAAAAACTTTTACACAAAATTTTTTATTTTCTTAAAAACCTTTTTTTTTTAGAAAGGTTTTTATTCCCCGGTTCGTTTTTTTTTCCCAAAAAAAATACATTTTTTCTCTATTTAATGTTTTTCGGGGCCTCATAGCATTAAAGGGCACCCGATTTTTGGGTTTTTGTACTCCAACACCATACCCATGTTGTTAAAGGAACCCTTCTTTAGGGAAGGGCTGTTTTCCCTTACTATTTCTTGTGACAAATTTTTTGGAAATTTTCAAAACAATCGGTTTTGGTTTTTGGGGTTTTGGTTAGTGAAACAAGCGAGGGGCTTTAAACTCTATCTCAGTTGATTTTTAATGATTTTTTTAAATTCTTTTACAAAGGGGGCACTTTGTTTAAAGGGGTTCGGGTTTGGGGGGGGGGGTATTAGGGTTTGGGGGGTGGGAAAAAAATTAATATTTTGGGGAAAGGGGTTTTATTGGGGAGGGGAACTTTTTAATAACAGGGGGAGGTTCCGGGGGGATGGGGGGGGAGGCTTCCGGGGGGGGCCAAATAAAAATTAGTTTGGGCCCATTTTAAAATTCTTTGCCAAGATCCCTGTTCTAAGTTCTTCCTGGGTTTTTAATGTTTGAATGTTTTTTTTTTTGTATAGAATTTAACGTGTCACAGATTTTGGCTATGGTCTTTACACTATTTTTAGTTGACGCTAATTTCTGTTGTTTGATTACGTACTTTCACTGATAAATGTACTGTTGTTTTTCTACATTCGCAAACTCGCGACTCTATAACTTTTTCCCTTTAATATCCTAGATCATTGAGTTTCAAGCACATTGAGTTTACTCTACTTTTTCAATATTGGTCAATTTTGATCAAGTCGGGAGTCGATTCTTATCAAGACGGAGAGTTATATTTTTCCATCATAGGGCTATAGCCCATGGTGGGAGTTTGGTTTGTACCTTGATTCATAATTGGTGTACCTGGGCGGTAGTGGACCAAGATAATTTGTTGATTATACTGATACGGAGGTGACTGCAAATAATTGTCCAGTAAATGATTGTTGAAAAGTTCCATTAGTACTCATTTCACTATTTATTTTACTTACTGTTGGTGTATCGTATACAAATATGTCACTACTGTCCTAGGATGATAACTTGAGCCTTTGTTTACATAACAAAGACCAATAACAATGCGAAAAATAGGTTAGGCAGATCAATGCCACAATCTATAAAAATGAAAATAAAACTACATGTTATCATATGTCTTGTTAGCGCAGCAGGTAGAGCAACCGTGTCAGTAATGAGTTTATCCGTACAGACAGAAGTTCGACTACTGGTACATTTTTTTTTTTACCTCAGAACAGTCAATTGTTTGACCGGTTTTATGCATACATGAATATGAGATCGAATATTTTATTTTACTGTGATCAAAAAAATACAAAAAAAAAAATGAATAGAAATAAAAAATAAATATATACTATAAAATATATATCATAAGAAGAAAACAAAAAGGAAAACGAAAATAAAATGAATAATTATAATGATAAAAAAAACAGAGCAAGAAGAAAAACCTGTGGTTATAAAATGGCACTACTTGGGGTTCGAACCTATGAGAACAAAACTCTAAAAGTTACAAATAATTTCGATCTCCCCGCAAAACCCATGAAGGTAAACGCAAACGATACTGAAGAAAATCTATACTAGTATTTTTTAAAGTTTTTTACTTTTAGGGTATGGAAATAATCCAAAAACCCCCTTTTTTGGATTTTCCCATGTACCGTTAAGCCCCAAAATTTACCCATCCTAGGCCAGTACTTGTTTTTTTCTTTTTTTGATTTTTTACGCCCATCAATTCTTTACGCCCTTGGGATGAAATTTTTTTTAAAATATCAAATTTTTCAGCAGATTCAAACCAATAGGGCCCGTTTTTAAAATAAACATTTTTTTACTTTTTATTGTTTTTTTCAAAAGATAAATCAAGAATGACACTTCCGGGGGAAATGTTTTTAAAATATCCCTTGGGGCATTTTCGATTCAAAAATTTAATTTAAGATATCGTGGAAAAAATGTTGTTTTTTAATGAAAAAAGCTTATTAACTATAACAATTGCACATTATTAATTTTTGTTCAATATTACTTATACAATTATACGAACAACAAATAAGGAAACAGAAATAGAGGATATTGAATGAGTGTAAGTTCAATACTGAATTTTATTGCACGAGTTGAATAAAATTATATTATGCGAGCCTCTGGCGAGCATAATATTATTTTATTCAACAAGTGCAATAAATTCAGTAATAAACTTACACGAATTTAATATTCTATTTATCACATACCCAAAATAAAGACCGTTTAAAGAGAAATAAGAGTCATTTTTTCATTGACGCGCCTATAGTATAACGCTAACATTTAGCGCGTCATTACACTATGTTTGTATAACGCTAATGACGTCAAGTCAAAATATATGCACGGCCGTGCAATACCATATTTACGGAGTCGCAAAATCGGCACGGGTGTGTGATAAATCACTTTATTTCATATTTGCACTAAATACGACATAATAATTATATTTTTGTTAAAATATACATTACGTATATGTACATGTATATATTTTAACCTATGATGCATTAAGAGGTTAATACACGGCAGGTGAGGGCCGGAAGGTGATAATCGGCCCGCAAAATGAATAATGGACCCGAGGGCTTTAGCCCGAGGGCCATTATTCATTTAGGGCCGATTATCACCTTCCGGCCCTACTCTGACGTGTATTAATGTCTTTAATACACTTGGATGATCTAATAGTAGCATTTAAAAAAAGAAAAGAAAAAAAAACAAACAAAGTTCTTTCGTTGAAATTCTTGTCTACTCTTCTACTGTTCTGTACAGAGATGTTTACTGTTTGTGTGTTCAAAGCAGTAGAATCTAGAAGCAAGTTTTATTTTCATTTTTTTCGGAATAAATTTGTCGTATTATTTCTTCAAATTTCAATAGTAACAAAAATGTGTTTGTACTAAATACGCTAAGCTCTCATAATAAAAATAAAGCGATTCGTGCTGACAACCTACTTTCAATTTTACAGTTAACTGTTTGATGACGTAAAATATGACGTCATTGTTTCAGTTTGTGCACGTGTACATGTTCTGCGGGCTGATAACTAGTTCTCGGCCCCGGGCCGCAAACTCATAATAGGTCACGTGACACTCATAATCAGTTGAAATCATAGGCAATTTTGTTACTATTTATAGTAACAAGTGTATTAAAGTTTTATACATACTTGAAACAAATTATGATTTTTCGTACATCATATTTTGACTACATTTTAAAATTTTAACCAATATATAACACGTTGAAGAAAATTCATTAAGGTACTTAAATAAAATATTATATCAAAATAAATTGAGAAATATACAGTATATATCAATTGAATTTTTTATAATTAATATGTATCATTTGTAATATTGACATCTTGAAAAAACATTTTATCAAGTATTTCTCGACCTCGCCTGTAATATCACCAACGGCAATTTGACACCTTCAATGTTTCCCTTCTTTGTGTAACTGGTCAGCAGTTTTCGATAATCCTTCTTTGTTTAACTGGTCAGCAGTTTCCTATATATTCTATATCGTCAGCTAATTCGTCAGCAGTTTAGTGCGACCCCTTCCATGATCGCACCGTTTGTCGGTGAGTTAGTAAATTCTGACCAAGCACCGGTAGACGCACGACAATGCGATACGATATTATTCCAAATGTCGCTTCGCATTGTCGAGTGTCGCTTCGCGTTGTCGAGTATCGCTTCGCGTTGTCGAGTGTCGCTTCGCATTGTCGAGTGTCGCTTCGCAATGTTGAGCGTCGCGGTGTAAAAATCATAAAAATAACGCGACATTTACTCGACATTTTAAAAATGTCGCTTCGCGATGTCGAGTGTCACTTCGCATTGTCGAGCGTCGTATCGCATTGTCGCGTTGTCGTTTCGCATTGTCGAGTGTCGTGGTATGCACTTCTACCAACCTCGACACTCGACAATGCGAAGTGACAATGCGACAACGCGAAGTGACATCGCGACAACGCGAAGTGACATCGCGACAACGCGAAGCGACGCTCGACAATGCGAAGCGACACTCGACAACGCGAAGCGACATTTCTTAAATGTCGCCCTTTTTTACCGCGACATTTCTAGGCGACAGTGCGACATATCGTTTGACACTGTCGAGCGTCGCTTCGCATTGTCGCATATCGCTTCGCGTTGTCGAGCGTCGTTTCGCATTGTCGCGATGTCACTTCGCATTGTCGTGTGTCTACCCTTAGACGCGACGGACGACATTCTAAATGGCACGATAAGGACACCGTACTTATGGGACTTTTTTTTTATTGCTGGTGTACATTTTGGCATCGTGCTACTGTTATGAATTAAATATACCGATTTGTTTTGTTGTGATAAAAAGTGGCATTCATTGTAATTTATTGTAAATCCACATGAATAGATTGAATAAACAGTGGATGGAAAAAACCTTGATGTCTTTAAAGCTTATAAAATTCAATGTGTACCCTGTCTTGAGATTACAAGCACCTGTTATTTCTGATAACTGTACTTTTCTAGGGAGCCTGTACTTTAAACTTAAACATTTTATGCGAAATCAGGAAAAAGAATAATTTATCCACTGTCATCTAGAATGATATTTTGATGGTTAAGATATTCATATCAAGAATAAAAAATATATATAATATATTTTATATCCATAAAATTGTTTTCTAAATCGATGGATATTCTATTCAGTAAGAAAAATATCCATTCATATTATCTGAATAGATGAAATAGTAATATCTATTAAATTTTCATCTGAATATAGACCGAAATATTAAATGAATAAACCGATTTTCAATGCCCAACTATCAAGCGTGTTGGTCATCTTGGGGATATATATATGTATTAGATACAAGTATACAACAAACAAGTACAATATACATTATTTACCACTTGTGTCTCCGCAGAGCTATCCTGTAGCGTAAAAATAAAATAAATATGTTGATATTAAAATGGTATGTTAAAATGATACGTTTCAATGATATGTTGCAATAGTCTATTACAATAGTATGTCAAATGGTATGTTACAACTTAACAAAAGTCTCTTACAAAGTTAAAATGGTATGTGTTATAATTGTCTGTTACAGTTGCACTGTATGCTTCTATAGTCAGCCATAACAGTATGCTGCAACAGTCTGCTACAATGTTCTCATACAATGGCCTCTTATAATGTTACGTTATGTTAAAATGTTATGTTACATTAGTATCTTACAAAAAAATCTCTTACAATGGTCTTCAACAATGGTATGTTACAATGTTATGTTACAATAGTATGCGACAATGATTTCTTACAATAGTCTCTTAAAATGGTATCTTACAACGGTATTTAACAATTGTCTGATGTTTTTCAATGGTATTTGAAAATTGTCTCTTACAATAGTTTCTTATAAGGTTACGTTACAATGGTCTGTTACAATGTTAGGTTACAATGGTCTCTTACGAAGTTACGTTAAAACGGTCTATTACAATGTTACGGTTAATAAGTCTGCTTGAATGGTATCTTGCATTGGCAACCAGTTTTGATTGTTTCGCAGAGTAATTTGAATGAAAATAATTGTCCACATATAAGTTTACATTAAACTACAGATATATGATAACATACAAATATTACTATTTATCTATCGTGTTTATTTTCCATCCTATTTTTTTCGGTGTTTTTGATGTTTGTATTGATCTTTTATTCATTTATTTATTTATTTATTTATGTACCCATTTCTTTTATTTCTTATTTTATTTAACTTGTGTGTGGAGGAGGGTCCAGGATTGCTCTTGATGTGCCAAGAATGGTTCGCTACTTGCAATAAGATTAAATATACAAGACTATAGAGTCAGGCCAACCTGTACCTCACCTGGTAGCTTAGCTTTTGCATTTTAATATTAAAATCTCTTAATTTTCAAACAAGCTATCCCAAATTTATAGCAGGGTAAATCCATTACACAAATTCACTAGACTGACGTTCAAAATCCATAGAAAAATAATAATAAGCCAATAAAATATCTGTTAATCTATTTAAAACTTTTATCTAGTAATCTAAAAAAATAGTTCGGTTTCGGATCACAGTACCTATCTTCATCGTAACTATATCTGCAGTACGTAGACGCGTTTTTTTTTTTTTTTTATCTTTTTTCGCTTTTTCATATATCGAATTTTAACATAAAACTATTAAAACAAGATCGCCTCTTATCCACTTTATTTGGAACCGGAGACCGGAAACAGAACCATTATTACTCTTTATAATTATTGCATAATGAAAGAAATAAAGCGGCTAACATTAGAAGCTTTATATAGGCAAAACAGCAAATGGAATATAACGAACTTTCTCTTGCCGAGTCCGTGCCTGGAAACAATGCATCATAAGTAAAAAGAAAGGGTTACTTTTATTTCTCAAATTAATACGTAACATTACAGAGTTGAAAAATGTCACATATCAATCTGGGCGCTTACTCAATAAAAAAGGATTATACAGGTCTATGAAAATATATAAAAAAGAAATAAAAAGTAAGTGTATATACTACTTCTTGAAGGAAAAGCATTGCAACTAAAGGCGATGATAATTAGATTAGAAATATTTAACATCACTCGTCGCCACTATACTGCTTGTATATGCATAAGATAATAGATGCATATGATATAAAGAAAATCAGCTAAGAAAAAATTTAAAGCGATTTTATACAGTTAAAAATAATACCGAATCGTTTCCACCTAAGGGGCTCACCTTTTAAAAAGAAAAATAATTAAATAAAAAATGAACATTCAAACCAAATGTCTTGCTATTCAGTATTAACATTTAGACTAAACAACTAAATAACATGACAGTAATACATTGTTATTTCGTCTATGATCAACAAAATTGATATAAATTTCACACAGTTATAACAAAAAATATTCAAATGAAATAATTCAGGTCAACTATAGTTAACTGAATATGTATATAATTATCAATGTTAAAAACGTGATAAAGAACCAATGAAAACAGTTACTAGCATTCGCCTTATTTTGTCAACCTCTAAGCTCAGAGGTCGTTGTATGTTCGAACCCTATTCGGGTCACGACTATATGTCCTCGTTTTCCGGTATTTCAATTCTTTGTCAGTACGGAAAAATCATAACGGGTTTTTGTAAATGACTATAAATAGTTTATATTATACACGGCTCTAGTGAATTTCACCTGGACTCAATGAATTTCATTAGGACGTGATGCAAGTTTTGTAACGTTTGCAAACAAAAATGCATGTGTAACGGAATGCACCATGAAACTAATCTAATACACATCTTTCCTGTACGAATGCATGGCGATACTTTCACAACCAAATATATCAAACGATGAATATATAAGATCTGAGAAATTTCAATCATTCAAATAGTTGTCTAACCCAGTAAAAGTATCGCATTAAGATCACGTGATAAAACAATAACATGTATTACCATTCCTCTAACCGGCGAGTTGTCCATAGTTTCACTCAGAGCCAAATTTAGTCTCGTCTGCTTGGATTTCTTCCGTTTCCGTTTGATCCTACATGCGTAATGTAATGGCGTTAACCCCTCGCGATCCTCCGAGTTCACATCTGTAATGTGCAAGAATCTCATAAAAATGTTGTAAACGCACATAATCTACCCAGCTTTGTAACTTAGTAAAAAAGAGAGAAAAAGCAAGAAAGAACTTTTAAGGTGACCATATGACACTGATGCCCCAACATACTTTACTTACTTTTATTTAGACATTGCTGGAATTTTGTCCCCGAGTGAAAATGCTTTATGATATGGGAAATGTTATTCTTGCATATCAGACTGGCGTTTCCGTTAGTTTTACCCATGCCGGAAATTTCATCTGGCATGGGGGTGGGGGGGGGGGGGGGTTCCAGATGAGTCGCGTGATGTACAATGGAACGATAAAGATGACGTCATTTTACCGTTATGAATGATTTAGTAATTCATACGCTGTTGTAAGAAAGTAGTTACGGTTGTAATGATATACATTTTCATTTAAAATAAAGAAAAAGAATTTAAAATATATTGGCATATAGTAGAATATGAAAGAAAAAATATCTGACATCGGTCAAGCCTCGTTACCGCCCAATGTGCAGGTCACCTCGGGACGGATATTCCGATCCGAACCGCAAAATATGACAGATATTATTATTACATCAAGTTCTGCAAGAAACTGCCAGCTTCTTCACATATAACGCATGTGTGAGATGTGATACTACGAGGGGTGATCCAGAAATAACCGGACTTACTCTCTAAAATATTTATTCCTCACGATTTTTGCATGAAGTCTGTACCAAACGTAACTCAGAACAAACTGATTCTGTTTGAAATTAAAATAGTATTTTTCATTTGTATTCCGTTGTTTTATGCGTAGTCATAGAAACACACTATCGCAAGACGAGGGGAAGTCATTTTTCATTCACAAATTGCTATTTTATAGCTTATTTTGAACATATTTCGGACTTTGCATTTTGGAGTCAATTGACGGAAGGCATCAGACCAATCATTGCAGAAAAAAATTCAAAGACATGCGCAAACCGGTAAGTCTAAAAATAAATTTTGTATCCCATAAAATAACCCTGGTAGCTGACTGGTTAACATTAACCATCAAGCATGACACATATTGAAATGAAATGAATTAAATTTAAAAACATTTAAATAATTAATAAACTAAAGCTTACGGTCGATGAATAACTTGCAAAAATCAATTTTAACTTCAATCAAAACGCAAAGTAAAATGGGTTAAATGAATAAATGATATCCTTTACTTTATATGAAATACTGGTATTTTGTTTCTATAGATAAAATTGCACTCGAAATCTCGCGTTCTGTTTAAGAAACATACTTGTTAACAGAAAAAGTTAATCTTTCTAGAATAATGAGGAACACATGAATTTCAAAATTCATTAAAATAAATACATTCTGTTGCGGGAAGTGGTTTTAATCTAAAACTGACGGCGAATTCAAACAAACGTATACTATATATATGCACAATACGAGGAAACCAAAAGACCGTTCAGCAGAGCCCGACCTCCACGTCTATAAACAATTCAAATAACACGATTAGAAAATATAATTATATACCCATCAAATCATGTTTCAGCGTCAGGACACAAAGTCACAAAAAAAAAAAAGAAATATTTTTCTTAATTTTAGCGAAAAAGCAAAATAAGTTTTTTTATTATATACTTATAAATGAAATATTGAGAAATATTGATGAAATAAAATGTGTATTTTCATTTTCCGTATTTTCACTGTAAAAATTTATTTTTCACTGCAGTGAAACATATTTTCCGTATTTTCACTGGTGTCTTACCAGACTACTTTCTTTTAAATTCTGGCAGTACACAAAATTTAAGGGAAAGTCTTTGAAATTTTATTGCAAAAAAAGAGAAAAATGTATATAATAAACAGAAAATTCAAGTTTTATCTATAAATACATGATTTATTTTCATCTTGTGGCATGAAAATTACCATATTTCACTTGTGGCTACGCCACTCATGAAATATTTATTTTCATACCACTCGATGAAAATAAATCATGTATTTATAGAAAAAACTTGAATATCCTCTATATATTTTGTATCTTAGACTAGTTCAACCCAGGGATGTAAAAACCGATTCACATTATTTTGGAGATTTGTCTTTTTTTAAAGTACATGTAAGTAATATGTAAGAGCGGATGTGCTTGCAATTCATTCGTATTATATGTGAGCTAGGAGAGTATGTCAACGGAATTTTTAACAACATTTGTGCGAGAACAGGTGCATGATGGTCAACATAAAAAAGTGTACGAGTTTGGTGCGCGACTATCAGTTTACCAAACTCAAATGGCTTTAGCACAATTAGATTTACCATTTCATGGTTATGCAGCACAGAGAGTAAATAAATATATGGACAATGACCAGAGGCCTGTAACCTATCATTTTATCACATTTATATATTGAATAGAAAAAACGCGATTTTGCAGTAGTTGGTTTCAGGGTAAAATGATTCAGATCTTTCATCATCTCTTTAATATATACCTTTGTCTAGCAAATATTATGAATGCATGTGCCTATAAAATAGTTAGCTGAACGGCTTCTTTATAAATATGTGGGAACTATGTGAGCGTATAGGACCTCATAAGTTTCACAGAAAATTTATATATTTATATTGTCAACTGTTTGCATATTGTCCAGAAATGCAAAATTTTGTATTTTAATAATCTAGCCAGTAATACTTAAACTAAAATTACAAATGGGCACATACGATATCTTTTAAACTTTTAGATGACCTCAATTTTTTTACAAGGACACGTATGCATACAAAAACGAATATAAATACTCAATTATTCAAAACTATTTATCAATTATTATAGCTACGATAATGTTTATTCTTTTGTCAACATAAAAATGGACTATATTTATTTTGCCCTATATTTTTTCAACTCTAAAATCGTCAAAAATACTGCGCATTTTCCTATAGGAAATAATGAACCGTACACCCACACCTATTATATTATATCAGTCATATCGGGTATCGATCTAAACTTCAAAATAAGAAAATCACCTATTTACTAATCGATAATTGAAATTTGGCCAGAATAACAAGCCTGATCGTTTCAAAATGTTTAATTGGTATAGGTTGACCTTGAAATTCAAAACCTACATAGTATATGAGTCATGGCGAGTTTTGGGATAAAATTACAGAGGACCTCGTAGTAAATAACATTAGTCAAGAACGACCTCCAGATAGAGTAAAACTACGTGCAGCTACAGTCAGACGACATTCAGCTGGGACCAGGGACCAGACGACATCCGGCTGTAGCTAGAATATATCGGAGACATCCAGCTAGAGTCAGAAGACATCCGGCTAAACTTAGGAACTATCCAATTAGAGACAAACATCATCCAGCCAGTCAGGCGACATCCAAATACAGCCAGGCGAGTTATTTCAAGAGTCAAACATTGCAACTAATCTTTTGTACATTTAGGCATAAAATAACAGACGCTAAAAGTAAATATCAAACGCTAAAATTGAATAGCAAACGATCAATGTGAATAACAAACGCTCCAAATGAATAATAGACGCTCAAAGAGAATAACAAACGCTCAAAGTGAATAACAAACGCTCTAAATGAAAAATAGACGCTCAAAGGGATTAACAAACACACACTCGAAGTGAATAACAAGCGCTCAAAGTGAATAAAAAACGAACAAGGTGAATAATAGACGCTCAATGTGAATTCCAAACGCACACTCGAAGTGAATAACAAACGCTCCAAATGAATAACAAACGCTGAAAGTGAATAAAAAACGCTCCAAGTGAATAAAAACGGGCAAGGTGAATAATAGACGCTCAAAGTGAATAACAAACGCTCGAAGTGAATAATAGGAGCTCAAACAGAATAACAAATGATCAAAGTGAATAACCAATTGTTTCCCGACACTGTGATAACCTTCACATTACGATATGCTTACGTTCCTGAGTGTACATTGTGCCGTTGATACAAACACTGTAGTTAGGTTAAGAAATTAAAATACTTGTATACATCCCACGCGAGCCATAAATCATTATGTATAAGGTATTTATTAGTTAACTTTATTACCTAACGCAACATTTAAGTAGAATGACAATTCTATTTGGATACATTTACTTTTGTTTTACTACGCTCAAATGTATACAACCTACCGAAATCCAAGACTCACTAATAAGTATGTTTTCGGAGAACAGTGTAATTGAACTTAGTATGTAATGGTAATTTAAAATGAATATCATTTACAAATTACAAATATCGCATCCCTCCGTGGTTGATTGAAGATAATGTTAATTATGTATATTGAGAAAGTAAAAATCTATTACAAGCTTTGACGAAAATTCTCAAATAACTGCGGGGAAAAAAGGATTGTGTCATTGTATATTTTACAAAAATATACAAAATGTATGAAAAATAAGATATTGTAACATATATTTCTCGTGAAAAAACGAAAGAAAATGTTAAAAAGTGTACGGAAGCATGGAGAGGACATAGTCGATTTATTTTAATAATCTGTGGGAACAACTTATTTGTCGAAATATTTTTTATTAATCTGTGGGAACAACATGTTTTGTGAGAAAAATCTTTTTTTATTCTGTGGGAACAACATATTTTGTGAGAAAAATCTTTTTTTATTCTGTGGGAACAACTTAATTTGAGTAAAGAAAAATTTTTAGTCTGTGGGAACAACATATTTTGTGAGAAAAATCTTTTTTTATTCTGTGGGAACAACATATTTTGTGAGAAAAATCTTTTTTTATTCTGTGGGAACAAACTATTTTCTGCGATATTTTTTCAATATCTTGTTCCCTCAAGATATTAAGTTGTGCGAACAAATTAATTATGTTGTTCCCACAACATAATTCAACCAATCAAAGTCCGATACAAATGTTGTGCCTCTCTTCTAACATATTTTGAATATCCTGATACTTCAAACCCATTTCAAAATACTGTTTAATAAAAACATCTCTATCCATTTTTCTGACAACAAGATGCAAGAATTTGATTGGTTGAATTATGTTGTGGGAACAACATAATTAATTTGTTTGCACAACTTATTATCTTGAGGGAACAAGATATTAAAAAAAAAAATAGAGCAGAAAATAGTTTGTTCCCACAAAATAAAAAAAAAATTTTTTTCACAAAATAAGTTGTTCCCACAGATTAAAAAAAGATTTTTCTCACAAAATATGTTGTTCCCACAGAATAAAAAAAAATTTTCTCACAAAATATGTTGTTCCCAATAAAAAAAAGATTTTTCTCACAAAATATGTTGTTCCCACAGATTAATAAAAAATACTTCGACAAATAAGTTGTTCCCACAGATTATTAAAATAAATCGACTATGTCCTCTCCATGCTTCCGTAAAAGTGACATTTTTGAAGCGAAAAATATGATGACCCATTTCATGACGGCAAAACACTTTTAACGGTGCACACCGACAAGAAGTCATAGAAATGCCTATTTAATAATTATACCTGCTCCATTTTCCACCAACAGTTTCACGATTGTGAAATGGTTATATCTGGCAGCATAATGTAACGGAGTTAAACCTTCTTCATCCTCATTGTTGATTTCTTTCAAACATTTCTCATCTTTCATCAGTCTCTGGGCTGCATCGACATAATTATTCCTGGCGCACTAAAATATAAACACAATGTCGCATTTTTTTTTATCTGAACACATTTGTAAAAACGTGGGGCATTATTACAGGCGATTTGGATTTTGAACTTTAACTAAACGCATGAAAAGTGTTGTTGTTTTTTTTGTGTTGTTGTTTTTCTTTGTTTTTACATTTTTGCAATTATCATATACATGTAGTGAAACTATAATATGGGGAATCTTGTGTTTTCTTGATGTTAGAGATAAATATTCATTTCACACATACTAAAATGTAAGCAATGATCTTCCAGTTTTAGTGTTATGTCCACTCCAAGCATAAATCATTATTCGATCTTATCTAATCTGTTTAGCCTTGTTGCCATGTTTTGAGTTTAAACAATCCATAGCAAATCCATATTGTACTACACCAAGTATTGTTAAAATTTACCAAGTCTATATTAAATCACTATTGTACTTCGTAAAGCCTCGTTTTCAGAGGCCAAACATTCCATGACAGATTCTTTTGTAAACACTTTTTTCATTATAAATATGGCAAATCATCAATACATAAATCATAATTATATAATGGCAACCGAGTTGGAACCAAGTACACATGGTTAAAATGAACAATATGGCTGTGTGAAATAAAGACAGTATTATCCATTGTTGAAGTCAATGCTGATTCTATTGGACTTGTACACAACTTCAAAATCTATATTAGACTCGGCTAGCGCATCGTCCAATATAAGTTTGACAGATGTATACTCGTTCAATATGGAATTCCGTATTGTACTCAACAATGTATAATTAATAACCTCATACTATAAACCAGCACTGCTAAATATTAGGTTTTAGATTATTTTGGTATTCTAGAATGTAAAATTGTTGGTATCTTAAGCTCGTTTCTAATTGACAAAATATAATCGGTGGTAAGTGATGGAAATCAATAACATAGCTAGGTCATACAAGAAGACATAAGCGCATAGATTGGCTAAAATTAATATATTTTCATGACATTTATTTGACTCTTGCTCTCTAACCCCACCCGGCGTTCGGTGTCTGATATTTTCATTCCATTGCTTATATTTACGCTGCTCGAGATCAAAAACTTATAAATAAATAGACCGCTATCTTTAACAGTTAATTAAATGTTCAAAGAACGATTGCAAAATGACGCCAGAAGATGTACAATTGTACATGTAACTGAAATACAACAATATACCTGATATATACTAGCTTTCAAGTGTTCACCGTCAATAGGACATTCCTCCATAGGGTCAAGCGGATGAATAATATTATCGTCTGTCATTATAACAAAAGTTATCCGTGTTTTATTAAATGTTATCCCAATTAGAAAAACTATGTGCACGCAACTGCTTGCATTATTTCAAAATGAAAACTACACAATTACATGTGTATACCCTTATTCCAAATCAACGTTTTTTTTATTCTTGTAAATCATTCCTTACAACAAACTTAAGGGCAATAAAAAGAATTTGTTTCACGTAGTTGTAAATCATTTGAATAAATGGTGTATTATTTCATATATACTGCAATGTTATGTTTAACAGTTTAACAATCGAGATTTAAAGCTTTACTTTAAACCATTCAGATTAAATTAAGATCTTTTATACGATCTATATAATTGTTTACATGAGTTTCAATTGAAATAATCGGAAAATGACTTACTTACTATTTTGACTTCTTTAAACTACGGTTTCGAATATGACTTACATAGAAACTCTTGAAATGAATAATGATTATGATTAACATTTCATTGAACAAAAGTTAACCGCGTTTTTGTCAAGGCGACAATATTTACCTTTTATTGTTTAATTTAGAATGAAAACAATACTATGGAAAACAATGTAATTTGTAAAAAGCCAATAGTTTGGTTCTTGAATAAGAGTTTTAACCACTTGAAAGCCGGAGGAACTAATTTATATACAATTGACAGTTAATAAATAAAAATTCACCATAAGGGCCACCCTGTTTCGTTGAATATAGAATATTAGTAGTTTTTTAGAATTTTGAAGTGCCCTATTTTAGGTCACCCGTGATGTGACTATATTTCGTGTGTACTTAATTTACTTAATGTAATTATGTAGTCTGGGGACTAAAAAGCTGAGTTCTGAGTATTTAAAGAGCCTCATTTCTGGGTGGGAGTTTCAAAAAGTACTACGCCTTTAAAGGAAAAAAAACAAGACCTGTTGGTAGGACTGCGTGCTCGGCTTTTTTCAGTGCTTGATAGTAAAACAAGAGCCTTCAAATTTCAAAATCCACGTCATAGTTATGGGTCTTTGACAGTTACCTCCATTTATGCTCTCAAATAAGTGTTTAAGGTTTAAACCCAAGCGCTTTATTTATTCAACTTATTTACTAGATTTGGAGAACCAACTTGCACGCAAAATCAAAACCAAAGTGACGCCGACGACGGTGTGAGTGCAATAGCTCTGTTCTTTGAATAGTCGAGCCAAAAACTGTTGTTGCTGTTTAAAGTGAAAATTTCAAGACTAACCAGTACCGGTAACTACGTCGGAACAGCATATGTGGCAATCGCCTCAGACGTGACTTCTACACTATTTAACATGTATACACGGCGGAATAGGCAAACTCCATGCATCGGTTACTTCCCCTGATTAGTAAAAAGCAAGAAGTTTGCAGACCGTTCAGTATATATCTCTGTAGATCATGACATTTGTCTTAATTCCACGGTGGTTCTCATCAGAAGGAATATATGGTATCAGGATTGACTGTTGTTGTACGAGTAGCTTTAGAGGGTTAGCATTAATGAGCCGTGGCTTTATGGAAATTTGCATTTGTTAACGCACTCTTCTCTGTAGAGAATTAGCACGACATTTGATTACTACGGTGACTGATATTTGACTCTAGTTGATTACAATAATAATCATGAAGCTTGTTCCGATATATGATATCATGATATCAGGAAAATGTACGATGTAGATGGAATGTAACATTTTTGTGAATATGCATGCTCTGTAGTTTCGAACATTGGCGCACATTTTCGGTTATGAACGATCAGCAGGTTTAATCATGATTGGCTGATTTCAGAGTGTTCTTGTTATGCAGAAATTTTATCACTGTTTGATAATGGATGACCTAGCCGGCAAATACCGGGAAAGTAGCCCGTATATTTAACGGAACTGTAGATGAAAACAAACTGTCTATGGCCGAAAAAATCATTTAAAAACTGAATTCCAATCAAGAGTAAAAACTCACCACTTAATAATTATGTTGCTATGTATTATTTATGTAATGCACCTACCTGTAACAGATTAAACGTAATCTTAATGCCATCCAGATCCTCTTCCGGTTCACGGTACGAGGCGGGGTTTACAATTCCTTCCGGAAAAGTATCGTCTGCTTCTTCGGCGCCACTATCAGCACCCTGAAATATTCATGGAAATGAAAAAAACCCACAAGATCTTGAAGAATTCAACGGGTCATCAACATATCACAGTACGTTTGCCCATGTGGGGATAATTTACGCGATTGAATTTTGTGAAATACAACTAATTTATTAAGTAAAACCATACTTGTAAATAAGAACGAATAATTTAAATTGGGTGAAATTGGGTAAAAAAACAACAACATATTATACTTATATCATATAATATGTCCATGCAATATCATGTACAATATAAATAAATAAAATTGTTGGTAAGAAAAGAAAAAACCTGCCAAACTTGTATTTAATCCAGATATATACAATTACATGTACTGTATAATAATCTAGTTATACTTATTTGAATAATTCTTGGAACTGCTTAAAAAATAAAATCATCATCATAATTATTCAACCTCAACCTTTTAGAAACTTATGTTGACATTCAAATTTTGTTTTATATGCTATTTCTTTCTTTTTCTGTGCAAATTACCTTAATAAAGTTTCCTATGGCAATTTGTTTTGAGAAAGTTGAAGAGAGTAGTTGCAGTTTTACGTGATGTTTTCATACCGCATATTAGAAATCTAATTTCTTTTTCAAAGATTTGCATTGCAAAACAATAAACACACAATGAAAAATACTGTAAATGACTGCAAATTTCAATAAAATGCAGTATAATTACTGAGGTTTTAAAAAAGTCACGTGCACTATTTCCGGCTTACCGTAATCGGATCTAAATCGTCAACCGGCGCAACAGAATTCATCTTGCAAACTTTTCTGCTGCTTTTTTACAATTGCAGCCTGTAAAAGATGCTTGATATCTGAAAAGTAAAAACAATTTTTATAAGCGCCTTACCGCAGAAATGTTGTCTTCTGCTTCCATAACTAAATGCCACGCCCTATCACAGCTTCAGCAGCACGATTTCTCTGAAGATTCTAATCAAGGTAAATCTGTGACTATTTGTATATTTTCTATTCAGACAATAAAGAATGTCCTTTTATTATCTTTTCGTTCTCGTTTCACAAACTCGTCAAATGCCCTCTTATTCAACTTTTATATAAACTTGTCACTTAAAATACAACGCTTGAACTGTTTCATTAGATTGTTTATATATGTATATATCCTTAGTCTACTATTCTAAATACACGATATTGTCTTCTTCAAAAACACATTGATAGAAGAATCCCCATCCTTTACTCAACACAAGTTTAGTTTGACAACTATTTGTTTTACTCTCTAATAAATATATACACATTTTTATAATTTACACTCATGAAAACGTTTATAAAAGGTACTTATGCTAAGTCTTAAGACAGTATATCGATCATGCTAACAGATAGTCATGGGAACAACACACCATTTTCCTTGATTCTATCTATATACAGTCATTAGATCATCTTCTATTTGACGATTCGACATAAAAATATTGGCTATTTTTCACGTTGCCTGGCAACACAAAATAAAAGAAAGTACACTATTTGGTGAGGTGATTGTTAAACACGGTATTGCTATAGAATCGTAGACTACTTAATTTTCTGTTTCACGGTTTCCGTTTCTTTCAAGTTTTGCTATAAAATTTTTTTAAAAATCTGCGTTGATAATTTGCCGTGAGAAATGGATAATTTGAAGTCAAAAGTCAATTAATTTGCATAAAATTAGCATAGATTATATACAGTGAGATCAATATAGTATACGAGATTTTATTAGTTTTTATAATTCATAATCTGTTCGTTCGTTTAGTCTTACCTTCTTTCTAATCATTTCAGTTTATACTCTTTCTTCTCCCCCACCCATATATGTTTCAATTAATTACAATGTACCAAAAGACAAACCGATATATTTCCTATTCGGGTATTAACTCTTAACTTTTACCGGTTTCCTTTTCGGATTTTAAATATAATACTTCTTCGTTAACAGAAATACTGAGTCTTTTACTGTCATAAAGCAACTTGGTGCTAATATTTAAGATCACTGAGGTCCGTAAGTTGAAAACATCAAATTTGAAAATTTTGAAAAATTATCAGGAATAGATATACAAAGGGATCATTAAGAACGGCACTAAGAACTAATTTGATAATTGATTATTAATTGCGATTACTTGCCTGTTTTGCGTTAAGGGCGTTTAAACGCTTTACATTTTCAGATAAGTTCGCACAATTTGAACAATGATGCGTTTGCAAATATATACACCTTAAAGGCACATTAAGCCCCAGCAACGTTTTTTCTTCTGTAGATAGTGAAAGTGTGTGTATCATAATATTATATTAGATTTACAACAAGTTAGATTCTTATCACCTGAAAAAATAACACTGAATGTGGAATGTGTTTGTCAAACAGGCAGCAAAATGTAGACAAAGTGGTATTCTGACTTCCATACAAAATACTTAATAATCATCATTGTACTTATTGCCGAAACACAAAATAAGTACGGCTCAGATTTGGCCAATGAGTAACTTGTTAGAAACTATTACTGGAAACCAAATTGAGCAATAACAATAATAGTATTTTTAAACTAAATGGTAAAGCTTTAAGAAAATAACTAAGACGTGTCGGGTCTTTAAAACTCTGTTTATGACTGGTATTATGATGATTATGTGTTGGGTCAGAAGCAATAATATTGATTACAGATAATGTATAGGGTACAATTACGAATTTTGATAATATCTTCGTTTATTGTCCGTTTTTTTTTTTCATATAATGTCAAATGTGAATATAAACCTTGGTGTGTTACCTTGTTCAAAATTCCGTGAAATTAAAGCTAAATGTGTCCAAAAATAGTAAAATAAAACGGGCTTTGTATATATGTGGTCTTGGTTACTTGGATATGTATGACAACGTAAAAACAGACAATATCTGATGCCTTGTAATTGATAGGATTAAAACAGTTAACTTGTCATAAAGAATTAGTTGTTGATCAGTCAACAATGTGCCAAAACATGCTTATATCTTTCCTTTAATGATTTATAAGTCAGGATTAATGATGCACATGATAATTAAGGTATAGCTTAAAATGTGTATAAAATATTTTATCTATTTTTAATAAAAAAAAATATATATAACTATCATGAACATTGATGAACCAAATTCAGGAGTTTAAGCTAGCGTTGACTCGAATTCATGTACGATACGAAGGGCTATTTTGCGTTAATAAACAAAGAGCTACATCTCAATTTATACTCACCCTGGTCCCTTAAAAACCCTTAATACCTGTAACATGCGTAGTACCATGTGCATTGTAACCGAGTATGTGACGGAAGCATATTGCTATTGCAGAATTTATATAATTATCATAGCAGTCAATGTTTATGTTTAATAACGATTTTTATTCGTGTTTACAAGACATGTACACTGACCTAGATAGAAATGTAAACAAATGAAAAATGATAATTACCTGTCTACTCCAAATGATGGATAAACTCATCAGTAAAAATCGTCTGCTTGATTAAATCCAAAATATCTGAATGTGAATATTTCATAAAAAGCACAAATTAATTTTATAAAGGTCGTATGAAATATAACTTTTTATCCTCAACCTTGTCCTAACTAAAATTAAACTATTATGTCAATAAGAACGGCGTAGTGTCACTATTAAACAGTGTTAAAAAGGTATATTTACGTTCGATAAAAAATAGAGGTATTTGAACAGCCAATGAAGTGTGTCCGTTAACTTAAATTTTCCAATATTTTGTTAGTTCTTGTACAAACTTGATAATTGGTTATAATCAAACACTATTTTACTCAATAAGTCACGATACCTTATCGATCTTTTCCGACGCACTATACCCTGTTAAACATGAAATAGATACAAAATATCGATCATCTCACCTATTAATGGCCAGAGCGTTAAAGGGATTGCAAAATGCCTGGCTGAGTTTAGGTAATTTGGCAAAATATTGATACTTTAAATGCGACGCACAAAAAAAAACCCACCACCACCACCAACAACAACAACAACAAACGTTTCCTTGCGGCAATTGTGGAAGCAATTTCCTTTACTGTTTGTTGTTAAGAATCTTCTTTAAATGATTATATTTAGGAAATAAACATCATTCAAGCATTTGACACTATAACAAAAATGATAAAATGACAAAAAAGCTTTTAAATCAAAATAGAGTAATTATACGGTATGCATCGGCTTGTATCAAAGAAAGATCATCTTCACGTGTATTTGATTATGCCTATTATACAGTTGTCTCCACGTGAATGTAACGTTTGTAAAAATTTATAAAAAAATTGAAGAGTTATTTGTTAGTTGAATTAATAAATGAGCCGCGTCACGGGCAAAAACCAAAAATAAAGGGTTTGCGGGCCCGGGAGGATCCAGACCCCCTTGGGAACCCCGCAGTCTGAATTTGAAACCATGCTGTTCGCTATCAGTTTTTTCTTTCTTGCTATAGGTGTTTGTTTAAAAGGCGAAGGGGATGTATCCGACGGGTTTTGCGCCGATGCCGCAGGGTGCCCGGGGGGTTCCAGGGTGGTTTCCCTTGCAAAAACCCCTTATTTTTGGTTTTTGGGGCGTGACGAGGGTCAAAAAAAATAAGGGCCCTTCCCCCGGTTTTCAAAAATTTTCCCTTTAATTTTTATTATTTTTTTATAAAATTGGGCCGGGCCCGTACAACAAAATTTTATTACATGTTTTTTTAAATTTTCATTAACTTTAAAATCCTGATCCCAACGGGTTTTTTTGACCCTTAAAAAGCGCTTTAAAAATTTTAAATGTTTGCAGTCTCGGTTTGATTGAGCCTGTTCATGGACGGTATAGTGGCTAACAGCAAGCTACCACCAACGCTCCCCTTTACTTAAACATAATATGGTGAAATTTTGAATTTAAAAACATCCCAAAAAAGTGTCCATATGGCGTTGATATAACACTACTATGATGTTATCCTGCTAAGCAAAGCATAACATCGGATGGACCCAAGCACGTCAATGTGGCATACACTGGCATCGTCCACGCTTTTCTACATGTCTCGAATGTTCGTATCATCAAATCAAACTTTTATTTGTGCCATTGTAATGTATAATTGATACTACAGATGATCACTATATATGAAAAGTGACGGTCACAGACGACAGGGATGTTTTTTACAATTTTCAGAAAAACCTGTTGCTTTCTGATTGGGGAAAATTAATACAGAACGGTAAATCAGAACAGGGGAAAAACCTGAAATCAAATTCCAGCAACGGACAATGGAATTTATGCACACAATTTTATAAAACTTTCAATTCGATGTAACATGTATGGTATATAACAGAGGTTATCTATAGGGACAGCTTCCTATCTTTCGAATTTAAGTCAGCTGTTGACAAGTAATAGTTACAGTTACTTTAAACTGTAGTTATAAAAGCCAAAAACACTAAAACAACAATAAGAAATGTCGAACGACACATATGCCTCCTTTTATCCCTTGACTCGTATTTTTTTTGTATTTTTTTTTATAGAAACTTTCCCTAAATGGGTTCATGGAAGTGTTCAGTAATGGAAAAAAGAAAGATAATGACCCACTAGTTATAACCAATCAATATGTGAAATATAAAGACATTGACCTTTCAACTAGTGACCCCCATTATGACTAATTAATACGTGAAATATGAAGACTCTGTTAAAAAGTTTTCAAGGTAATTAGCAGAAACCATTATTACATTTTAGGCCGCTGTGACCTTCACCTTTGAACTAGTGACCCAATAATCAATAGGATCATCTACTTCATATGACCAATCAATATGTGAAATATAAAATTTTGTGATAAATAGCTTTCAAGATAATCTGATATTTAAGGCCCCTGTGCCCTTTGAAATAGTGACCTCAAAATCAATAGGGGTCATCTACTACATATGAGCAATCAATATGTGAAATATGAAACTTTGTGATACATTTTTATCAAAATAATAAGCGGAAACCATTCTGACATATAAGGCCCCTTTGACATTGACCTTTGAACTAGTGACCCCAAAATCAAGAGAGGTCATGTTCCATTAATGACTAATCGCTTTGTCAAATATGAAGACTTTATGATAAATAGCTTTCAATAGAAAAAGCGGTCCAAACCATACTTACTGTCAAGACCTCTGTATCTGACATTTGACCCCAAAATCAATAGGGGTTCATCTACTTGTTATAACCAATCACTTTGGGAAATATGAAGACTTTGTAATAGTTTTCAAGACAATATACCATTCTGACATTTAAGGCCCCTGTGACATTGACCTTTGACCTAGTGATCCAAAAAACAATAGCGGTCATCTTCTAGTTATGACAAATTAGTATGTGAAATATGAAGACTGTGATAAATAGTTTTTAAGATAATCAGCGGAAACCATGTGGTCTACCCCGACCGACGGACAGACAGACAGACCGACAAAACAATATACCCCCTCTTCGAAGGGGGGGGGGGGGGATATCTGAAATTGGTTAGTTTGTTATATACAATGTAATTAAGAAACAAGGGGTGAAATGTGCCACCTTCCTTTTCTAATCTATTTCATACATACATACATGTATATTTATTATAGTCCAAAATTACACAATAATTATTAATTGATATTAACACATACGCTACAGTCACATATCTCCTGTAATATCTATTCACAGCTCATTGGTTTTCTGTATGTTTATATGCGAAGTAAGTTAAGGGGGTCCTGACCTTTAGGTTTTCCTTTATCCCCCATTAATTATAGGGAATTTAATAAAAAAAAACAGAAAAAAATGCGCCCCCGAATGAAAACTTTTATTTGGGGTTTTAAAGGTTTTTTAAAGTTCTTTGTAAAGCATAAAATTTATTAAATAATTTAAAAAAACACAAAAAATTTGAGGGATAGGGGAACTTATATGTCATATAAACTTTTAAGGAAATATAAAGCCTTACTATTAAACATCCACAGGGAGATTTTCCCTAAATTGTTTAACTGAATCTATACCTCGAATCATATCAGCAGCCTTTTCAGCGAGCATAACTGTTGGTCCATTTGTATTTCCTACAAAATGACTTTGGGGAAAAGCTTAAATCCACAACACGAAAGGGTTTTAAATTCCCCTTTTAAAACGCCAAGAAATTTAAACCCAAAAAATGCAAATCCCCGGGAATCTACGGCACCCATTTTTCATGGGGCCCAAAATTATGGGTAACATGTAAGTGCCATGGTGACGTATTACGCTTTCCCAGTATGCATCAAACCAAAACCGTGTTGTGAACAAAAAACCTTTTTCTTTCAATCATTAACATTAGCCCGGTTTTTTCATATAGGAGTTTCATATACTTCCCCATATTTTTATTCCCAGCTATGGGGTTCGCTATATCTTTTTTGTTCTGTAGGTATTGGGTCTAGACGGGTAATCAAAAGGGGTCATTGGTGCGAAGTCTGATATGACCACGACTTTTGGGGTGGGTGTTTATAATAGAGAATGTAAATCCATCTACATCTTCCACGAACCTTTCGTAATTATCCCTCACTTTATTATTAAGTTTAAGTCCATTGTAATTAAGAATCACACTAAACAATGCTATTTGCAGATCGGGATACAAATTTTCTTTTTTCTTTTCACCTATTTTCATGAAAGCTGTAGCTTCAACACCTGAAGAAGTAAGCGGTCCAGTGCCAAAAAGTTGATAACTTATAAGACTGGAGAAACTTTTAAAACTTTCTTGTGTTAAACCAATAGACTTGTTAATTTTAGAATGAAGTCCAAAAAATATGTGGTCTTGAAGATTTTCTCCAACAGGCAAGTCCGCAACTACAGGGATGTCCATATCTTCAAGATGCTTCTTTGGTCCAATTCCAGACAACATTAGTATCTGAGGTGACTTTACAGTCCCAGCGGAGAGTATCACCTCCTTTTTAGCTCGCACGAAATATTTTCTGTTATTTCGTATATAATACACGCCAGTTGCTACGTTATCATTTAGTTTCACTTTAGTAACAAACGAGTTTATTGCAATATCAAGGTTTTCTTTCTTACTGACTCCAAGATAGGAAAAGCGGATTTCTTCCAAAACCCTTTTTGGGAAAATTTGGGTTTGCAAAAACCCCAGTTGGGCCTTTCCATTATAATCCGTAAAATCCCAATCCTAAAATTTTTCCAGCTTAGAAAAAAGTCTGAAAGCTGGTTTCGCTACTTCCCCAGCACCATCGTTCACCAACATTATGATATTTTGAAGACTTGAGTTCGTCAATGTGAATGTCTTCTGCCTTTAAGAAGTATGGGAGGATATCTTTATAGCCCCATCCCTCACAACCATTTGCAGCCCCATTCGTCAAAGTCGTAACGGCATTCCTCTGGTGTATTAGCAACATTGATCAAATACCGAGCCTCCAAGAACACGGCCCGCGGCCCAGTATGATCTATTTTCCTCCAATCCCAAAAAGGAATTTTCTGCTTCGTGTAATATTTTCCCAGTCATATTTGGAACCTTGCAATTCGCCCCAAAGCGGCAAAACGTGGAACTTTCCATGATTTTCGTCGTTAAAATCCACCAGCCTCAAGCAAAGCACGTTTATTATTTTTGGTCTTCAGCAAATTTCTTGCCGCCCAATCACTGACCCTGCCGTTCTCCACCCCTATGACATAATCATATACGTCGATTCAAGTGAATCAGATACAATTACCCTATGTTCATTATAAGAAGCATTGTTCTGTAGTTTCAAATACAAAATGGCGATGGAGAGTACAAATACCGCAGTAATACTGTACCACATGTCTTTAAATTAGTTAATTAAATTCCTGAAAAGAATGACAATAAATCATTTACACTTTCGGTGTAACTGGCTTGATGAATCTTTTAGTATTACAATATACAGAAACGAAAGAAAAAACGTCATTATGTTTATTTTTTTAAACCAAAGAGAAATTTCTATTCAATAACAAATGTATTTAATAACTGAACTGAATTTCAGTTTAACTATATCACTTATACGTACAATCTGTGTAGATCTCTCAGTCAAAATAGTACTTAGCACATATAGCAGAATAGCATGTACAGTAATTTATCTTATAAACAGGTACTGAAAAAAGGTTATATTTATGTTTAAATAGGAAACCTCGAAAAATCATCCGTCTGGCATTTTCTTTTAAAGATATGTTAGTAATGTAAACTCTGTAAGGTATGTAAGACAACTAACCTTGATACTTAAACTTCTATATTTTAAACGTCCTTCACATTACAAAAAATGAACCCCATATGTATCGAGGCGTATGATAATGCATCAACATTGTGTATAAATAAAGTATATAGGTCATTTATTAAATTTTATACCAGATTATTCAAGCTATCTATAACGTATTCAGTTACTGAATGTTATAAATCAGCTCATATATACTTAGACATTCCCAGTAAGCATCAGAGCGAAACTCGTGTTGCGAACAGAACGATTTCTTCATATCATTAACACTAGCGCCTAGTTTCTTCATAGTAGGAGTTTCAATATACTTCTCCCATATTCTTATTCCAGCTATGAAGTCATCTATATCTGTTTGTTCCTGTAGGTATTGTGGATCTAAGATGGGATAATCAAATGGATCATTGCTACGGAGCTTAAGAATTCCACGACTCTTTGGATGAGTGTTTATTACACCAAAGGTAAATCCATTAACGTTTTCGTCCATTGCTTCAAAATCTTTTCTCACATTATCTTTAACATCGAGCTTTGTAAAAGGAATAATATAACTGTATATCACCATTTGAAGATCAGGATAGGACATTTCTTGCACTTTGTTATCAATATTCACAAAAGCAGAGCCTTCTCCGCCGTTGCAAGCAAGAGGTCCTGACCCAAATGCATAATACTGCATCAGTGCCCATGGAGAGGTAAACGATGACGGTGATAAATTTATTGACCTGTTTATTCGGGAATGAAGTAAAAATACTTGATGATCTTGGAGATTTAATCCAACCGGTAAATCTGCAACTGACGGAATACCCATCTCTTCGAGATGTTCTTTAGGTCCAATCCCCGAAAGCATAAGTAATTGGGGTGAATTCACGGAGCCGGCAGAAATTATTATTTCCTTTTTAGCTCGAACGAAATATTTCCTATTGTTTCGGACGTAATATACACCGGTAGCCGTTTTGTCTGTAATTGCCAACTTAGTAACAAACGAGTTGATAGAAATATCGAGGTTTTCCTTTTTACGCGGACGTCCAAGGTAAGCGACCGCTGATGATTCTCTCGTACCTCCCCTCGAGTTGATTTGTATTTTATTAAATCCTATATGTTCTCCACCGTTGTAATCTGTGATGTTATATCCCAGTTCTTGTCCGGCTTTCATATACAAATTCGCCAGCGATGTCGCAACACTTTCGGAGACAGCCATCGGACCGCCTTCCTTGTGATATTTTGATGTCTTCAGATTATCAATTTGGATGTCTTCTGCTTTCAGGAAGTATGGAAGGACATCTTTATAACCCCAGCCCTCACAACCATTAGCAGCCCATTCGTCAAAATCGTAACGGCTGCCTCGTGTGTATTGAGCACCGTTGATCATACCCGAGCCTCCAAGAACACGGCCACGTGGCCAATACGAGAGATTGTCTTTGAATCCAAAATGTGAATATCTTTGAGGTTCTGTATAATATGCCCAGTCATGTTGTCCTTTCTGTAGCATTGGCCAAAGTGCTAAGATGGAAAACATCCATGATTCGTCATAAAATCCGCCAGCCTCAAGCAGAAGAACTCTATTTTCCCTGTCTTCGGCAAGTCTTGCTGCCACAACTGAACCTGCTGTACCGCCACCGACAACAACATAATCATATTCGTCATCAATGATATCACATAATATATCTCTTTGGTCAAATAAAACGCTTGTTCTACATATCAGCATGTATAAAATGGCGATGACAGTGACCGATAGTGTTATTAACTTGTTAGCCATTCCAACGTTTACAACGGAAAGAAATAAGTTTAAAAATGTTATTCATTCGACGGTAACTTGAATTGCTAAGAAAATGTCTTGTAGTGCATTTATAAAATGCTTAATAAGCATTAAATCTTATACTCATAATTATAATGTCAGCTTTTTAAAGAAATATCCTCTGTTGGCATGCATACCATTCCAACAACTACCTAATGCCACTATTTCATTACGTGTTGCTATATCCGATTACACTTTATAATCAGGTGAAAATAATTCCGCACTTTAATTAAAGATGCATTCCCGTACTATGATCAGATGTGAAATATCAACATATTGAGCGAATCTTACATGATAACTGGGTGGATATAATTATATTTAACTAGCTCCCCATATCATGAAACTGTATGACCAAGTTCATGTACTTATTAGTATTTAAGAATATCTCAGCGTTATGGAATGATATTCAAAATACAATGTATATGCTTCTGCACTTCATGCTAGTAATTCGTACCTAAATAAATAACATTAAGGGCTGAGCTACAAATACAAAAAAAATCTGTGTCAAGTTTAACTGATAAATTAGATATTTAAAGTACATGTAGTTCGTATATAAGCAGACTAGGACAGGTCAATGCACATTTGTAAAACTCACATTTTGACAAAATTATGATAATGTAGATGACATTCATTATATATAATTTAGAAGATTCCACTCCGAGAGATTTGTTTAAAATCGTGAATACTTTATTTGTCAAAACGTTTTGTATCACATAGTGATATAGATTATACCCTTTTCTCGTTTGGTAAAATGACACTCATACGAGGGGGTGGTCCAAAAGTGGTGTTACTACGTTTAATAACTCGTGCGTTAGAAACAACCAAGGTTGATATACATATGAAAGAGTGAAGCTTAAGAGACTTCAGTGATGTCAAAATAAAAGCGACATATAAAGTTATGGATGTAAGAACTAGGAACTGTGTATCATAAAATATCGTTATAAGATTGGTGTACAAAAACCAAATAAATCATAAACAACAGGTACATAAAGCACATCAGCGACCAAAGAAACGACGTAACCATACAAAAATAACATTATCGCAATGTAAGTACTTTTCTAAATAACGTCCAACGCGAGTTGTTTTATCGTTAAGAAACCTGGCATCCACCTAGCATTAACTAACATGTCTCTTCAAGAATCATGAAAGAATGCGCTTGACACTCTACCGTAATTTAAGCCTATATAAATATATGTTCAGACAGATCTCAAATATGGTCACGCGGCTATATCCTATTCAATGGAGTCGGAAACAGTTCCCATCCGTTCGTGTTGATAGCCCGTCCGTTCTTGGACGAGCATCCAGTGACTCGTCCCTCTTGAAAACGTTCATACCATCTATAGACATGTCCTCTGTTTACAGTTTTTTGGTTATATATTAAATATACGTTTTCCATCTCTCGTGAAGGTTATTTCCCGATTTTGAAGCAAATGGTACGGTCCCCCCAAACTTTTAACATGCTTTTTTTTCAGCGGGCATTCATTTACTGCGCGTCAACTTTTAAATGTAATTGAAATCATATTGAAATTTATTTGTTAGTACATCGTAAATACATGTTTTTGTGTAATTGAGGCAGTGACAATACTTTTGGATAATCCCTCGTGGGGTTCAATCAAATTTATGACTGTTTACTTGATGTAGTTTGTGGGTTATCAGCAATTTAGTAAAGTTACGGTTATCAATAATCAAAGTTGTCTTCTTGATAACAAAATGTAAAGATAACTCTTGATATCTAATCCAGAATGAAATGCAGAGTTGTCGTATGAGTTGGTCCACTGAATGCATGCAGTAGGTGTAGCCAGTATGTGGTTCAGTGCACATTAATTAACTAAAATGTTTGATAACGCTGAATATGATTACGGTATTACTTCTGACATGGCTTCTTAAGCGTTCACGTTTCCAAACTTTTCCACGGAAAGTGAAGTACGCGGTCTACAGATGTTGTAGAAACTTATGGCTTTTTATTATACTGGATCTATATTTCGTAGCACGTTTTGTAAGTTCTATATATGATGTATACGAAATGATTAATTGAAAATGTTAAGAACAACATAAAATAGCCCAAACAAGATAAAATTCAAAATGTCACAGGCTCGTTTGATTTTGTCCAACTTTTGTCCAGTGTTTGAAGAGTTATCATCAAGTTTTACTTTAAGCAATGTTTTTTTTCTAACAGCTTAACAGTCTTTTAGACTGGGCAACGTCAAAATGTGTACACAATCTTGAAATGGACCTGCACATTCTCATCAACGGCACATCTGCCTACGTCCCGTAGCACGGAATTTACGGTTGCACAAATGTGACATGTGTGTGTTTTTATTTATCTCGTGCGCACGAGCTACTATGTCGTGGCCACGAGTTACTAAGTCGTAACCACGGACGTCATTTCCGTTATTTTTTGTTGAAATCGCTAGAAACGCCAGACTCTGATATTGTTCACAACGGGAAAATGACGGACACGCAGAAATTATAAAATTGCGGGATCATAAAAATTTGTTGTAATTTGGGAAGACACCTACAAAAACATTTGAAAAAAAAAAAATCAGTAAGCAAACAGAGAAAATAAAGTTTCACGATCATTAGTGTTTAAGTGGCATAAAAAAATAGTAATGGACATTACTTTGAGAAGCAGTAACGGTCACTGACTGCGTAACGTTGAAGCCCAAGTTGTATACGTTAATATTATGACGTTGACGTCAATAACTGTTTGGAGTGCGCCGCTGTCGCCGACCTGTGTTTATGTAAAATTGAATATTGTTGTAATATAATGTTATATAAAAAGCTACTAACATGAATTTTTCTGTGGTTATTTGTTATTGTTTCTTCTAAGCAGTGTAAGAATTTCAAATCAATATCTCAACTACATTTTACAAAGAAAGTTCACGAATTTTTGGATAACCCCTCGTATACCGTGCTCCTCTTCGTTCATTGAAACCAGAAAGACAACAAATGAAACTCATGGTACAAAAAATCAACTACATTTTACGCAACAAAGAAAGTTCACGAATTTTTGGATAACCTCTCGTATACTGGGCTCCTCTTAGTTCACGGTATTTAACGCTTTGAAACCAGAAAGAAAACAACAAATGAAACTTATGGTACAAAAAGTGTCAAAAGCTATAACATAAAGGTATTTTCTGCTGTATGGCACAAGGAAACAACAATATATTCAGTCAAAGTCAATTTTAAAGTACCAAGCGTAAACCATACGTCGGCCATTTTGAAAACAGTATTTCATCATTTAAATCGCGGAAATGGTGTTACGTTTCAGTTTTTTCATGCTTCAGATAAAGTTTCTACATGTTATTTTACTTGATTTAAATATTAAAATTATCCTTACTTTGTAACTCAAAATTTATTTTTTTCAACAAACAAGAACATTTAGAAAAAGATGATTGTTTCAGACATATGCACATATTTAATGGACTATTATTGCTTTTTGCAGAAATAGGTAAAATGTTGTTCTGTTTTACGAAAAATCTAGAGATTTAAAATATTTTGCACAAAAACTTTGTTGTTTGGGTGTATGAATAAAATATGTCAATTTTGACCAATTTTAACACTGGTCACATGAAAATATGCCATTACCGTGAAATAAGTGAAGACGCGGAATTAGTGATTTTGAGTATATATAGTGTAATCTGATTGGTTAATCATCTCGTGCGCACGACTAAGTTATCTCAGTAGACCTCTACATAGTATCTCGTTCCCATGGACGACTTCATTATCTCGTGGCCACGACATAGTATCTCGTTCCCACGACTTAACAATCTCATGGCCACGACTTAGTAACTCGTGCCACGACAAAGTATCTCGTGCGCACGAGATAGATAAAAACACACACACATGTCACCTTTGTGCCACCGTACTTTGATGATATTTGGTACGGTTATTGGAATTTAGCGCGATCGTCACGTGAGACACTACCCAAACAATACGAACATGAAATTATTCACGTCCGCGGATTATCTTCATTTTCTGAACTGGTGAAGGCTTTACTTGAACTAAGTGAGTGTCTAAAAGTAAAGAGAAGGTATGTATATCTTTAATTATGCTTTTTATGAAGGTATCATGAATTTTTGCTTTGAGATTATAGAAAATATTGTCCTATATTTTGACAGCTGTTTTGTACTTAAAATTATTCGTAAGCAGTTTTATATACATGTAAATTATTTAGTGTATCATCTTTGTATTCGGTATTCGTATTAATCACGTCACCCAAATATGGGGATTTGACCTTAAAAAGCCTTCACTTTGGGACAAAAAGTAAGGGTAATTTTAAGTGTGCCTAAACTTATAAAATTATGCACAAAACATTTCCATTTATTGTGGTAGTGGCTAGCCGTACGGGCCCCTACGGCTAGCAAAAGTTCTAGTCGTATGTGAGTCACATACGACTAGCCAGGACACACTGTATTGTCTAGCCGTACGACACTTTTCAAAATTATATGGAAATCTAAAATGCATATGTTATTTTGTGTCTTTAAACGAGGATTTTAATCAAGTCTCCGCATTTGTCCTCGTGTGTTCACTTTAATAAAGATGCTCTGTCATTTTGTAAAAAAAAATGAAAACAAACAAGCGTTGTATAATCTATCTTGATAAAAGTTTCAAAGTTGCATTTTATAAGTTATAACGTTGCTGATTTTCATGCTTATCATTTGTTGTTTTATTTGCATGAAAGATGAATTATTAAATCATTTTTGTTAATTAAGCACATGGATCGAATAAATAATGATCAGAGTGGAATAAATAAAAAGAACATCGAAAAAAAACCGGTGAAAAGCAAAATAATTGTATAATTTTCAAATACAGGAGATAAATATCGAACATAAAAGCACAAACAATTTAATTAGCCTTAATTAAAGCCTACCCAGGAACTGACAATAGATTTTTAGAATGCATTTCAAGGAACATGCAAACTTTCCTTAATGATGGACAAACTTCTTTACCGTCACCGG